TGACAGCAAAGCAGACAGATGTTTTGGTTTGGGAAGGAAAAGATTCAAAGGAAGGATAATATCTAGCACAGGAATTAGCTTGAAACTCATTTTATCTGTTAAAGGAGAAGCTTTAGGCAAATTAAATTTCACAGAATTTAACTGAACAAATGAAAATGATTCATGGATTGGGCAGCCCTCAGAATCAGAGCCAATTTGGAAAGACTCCAGCAATGCATGATAGGAGAAAATTTCTGTACAGAAGAACAGTAATATGTAGAAACGGAAGTAAGGTACAAGAAATAGCTGGCTCGGTTACAGCTCAACATTTCTTATTTGAAAATGATTTGAACAGTTGGCCACCTGTGAGTGGTTGAAGTATGGCTGCTGAGCTTGGCTGAGTTTTAGCTATTGTTGCAAAAGCATAGTACTAAGATAGGTTTTCAGTTTGCTTACCAAGTTAGGCTGTGGTTCACAAGCAAGACTCAAGTATGGGAGTATGGAGGATTTATTTGTCCAGATTTTAGTTTAATAAGCATTTCAAAAGCTTTTTTTAAACAAGAGTTTAAATAAACTCAAATGGTTCAAAAATGACACCATTCAATACAACTTGCGTTTCTTCTATGACTTGTATTTCTCTTAAGTGTTAAGTTTAACCAAAAGCTGTCTTCTTACATATTTTAAATTCTCCATACACAGTGAACTGTCACCTAACTGGATATGTAAACAGACTGTAACTTACTCTTGTATCAGTCACAGAATTTCAGCCAATTGAAATTTATTGCCTTTGCAAAAATTTTAAAAACAAGAGAAATCTAACCTAACTGACTTTACCTTGCTTCTAACCTCACAAGCGAATTGACTTTGTTAACTTTAAAACAAAGACAATACTAGTCCTTTACCAAAACTAACCCTCTCCTTGCTTGAGAACCAAAACCATCTTTGTAAGACTATTGAAAACCCACAAGAGTGAGATTATGGAAGGAGCTTGAAATTTGCTAAAATATAGGTGTAGTTACACAAGAACCAGCCATTGTTCTCCAGCCTGCGTTTTTATGATTCCCTGCTGCTCTGTAGTAACGTGGCCAAAGGTCACAAGATTTGTGACTTCCCCAGTTGCTCCTGTAGATAACATCACTATTGTAGAACCTAAGACTGGTCTTTTGAGATGTGTTCAGACCAGCTGACTCCACTTAAACCTGTTACTCATGACTCAACCAATTCTGGAACCCCCACACAGAAACTGACACAGGGCGTGAGGACCATTTTCCTCACCCTTATGATTTCAACCCCAGTCAATCAACAGCATTCATTCCCTATTCCCATGCCCACCAAATTATTCATAATAACCTTAGCCTCTGAATTTTTGGGGAGGCTGATTTGAGTAATTACTACCCTCCTTCGGTTTGGCTAGCCCTGTGACTATTAAGCTTTCTTTACTGTAATACCACTGTCTCTGAATTGATTTTTTTCTGTGCAATGGGTAAGGAGAACCCATTGGGCAATTGCACAATAAAAGGCAGCCAATTGTTCAAACCATGTTCAAATAAGCAAATGCAAAGCTGGAACCAATCTGGCTGTTTCCGTGTCTCATTTCATTTTCCAAATGCCACTTCCTTTTTCTGGTTCATCCGTCTTTGACCATGCAGCAGTACCGGAGTGTCTCTGAGCCTATTTGGGTTCAGGGAGATCTTAAAGACCTCTTTTTTGGGCAATGGAAAGTGCAACTTTTGAACTGTTCTTTGCTCAATTTAACCCTGTTACATTCAATTTGTCTAAGATTTTTCTTTTCCTTTCTTTTTTTATTTTTATAACATTTGTTATATTTGATGAACCTACATTGACACATCATTATTACCCCAAATCTCTAGTTTACATTATGGATCACTCTTGATGTACTTTTTACAGATTTTAACAAAAACTTATACATTTGCTAAAACCTGTAGAAAGTACATCACGAGTGATCCATAATGTACCCCGTACAGTTGTATCCCATTAATTGTATACCATACAATTTTACTTCCCTAAAAATCCTCTGTGCTCTATTCATGCCTTCCTTATCCCATCCACTGGCAACCACCGATCTTTGTACTGTCTCCATATATTTGCTATTTCCAGAGTGTCATCTAGTGGAAATCACATAGTGTACAGCCTTCTCAAATTGGCTTCTAGAAATCTTTTTTGACCAAGCACAAATGGCCAGCTAGTGGCTGACAAAAGGGGATCTATAGCTTAAAAGTTAAAAAAGAAAAAAAAATAAAGATCTGAGGAAAAGCTTTCTCTTTGTCTTGGGAAAAGATTTTTCTTTTTACAGAGACTATTTCAAAATTCAACTTAAAGGTCACACCATACCTGTTATTTTTAGAATTTTAAAAAATCTTTCAAATAAATTCAGGTTCTCCTAACAAGCTTTTCTTGTTCTCTCTTATTTGTTTTGACCTCAAAAACAATGTGGAAACACTTCTTTTTGCAAACCAACCTACCCATTCTTACACTTCATGCATTTAAGAAATAGATATTTGAACTTGAAATTCAGCTTGTTACAAAAAGACAGTGAAAGAATGGAACATTAGCTTTACAATAAAATTCCCCAAAACTGAATTTTCATTTGTATGCTTAAAATACTCTGTCAGAACAGGAATCAAACAGGTTGTTTTGCAATGTGCTGGGAAATCTACTGTCTATGCAATAAATATTCTGTGGGGTTTGATTTTACTCTTTTGCTGGCAATAGAAAGTACAGTTATTTGGATTTTGGGTAGATCTGTTGAATGGCTGAGTGAGGGCTTAGAGCTTCACAATGCTGAAGTCAGGGAGACCAATGTATAGACTATTAAAACAGTCCATCTGAGACTGAGTTAGACTAAAGGTAGTAGCAGTGAAGGAATATGAAAGAACTGAGGAAGGAAGTTGTTGAGGTGGAATGATTAGGCTCAGTGACAAAGCATGTCAGAATGACGAAGAAGGAAGAACTGAGGGCGGGTGTTTACATTCCCCTATTGAAAGGATAGTGAGGTGCTTCACCAAGATGGGTAATTATTGAGATAAAACAATTTGCTGGAGAAAATGGACATTTTTTTTTTTTTTTTTTTTGTGGAAAATCAAGTTAGCCTTTCCTGGATGTCATTGGGATGAGATTAATAAATTCTGAATTCCATTGCCTAGGTGCGGGGCCTCACACCTGTAATCCCAGCATTTTGGGAGGCCATTGCGGGCAGATCATGAGGTCAACAGTTCGAGATCAGCCTAACCAACTTGATGAAACCCTGTCTCTACTAAAAATAAAAAAATGAGCCAGGTGTGGTGGCATGTACCTGCTATCCCAGCCACTTGGGAGGCTGAGGCAGGAGAATCGCTTGAACTTGGGAGACTGAAGTTGTGGTGAGCTGAGATCACGCCACTGCACTCCAGCCTGGGTGACAGCAAGTCTCTGTCTCAAAATAAATAAATAAATAAAATAAATTCTGAATTCAAAGTACAATGTAGCCACAAATATAAATTTCTAAATTAGCATAACATGTGAGGGTTAAAGTCAGCAGTCAGTAATCAATTAGGTCACTGAGGAGTATTACGGAGTGGTAGAAAACAAGCGCTGGAGAATAAAGCTCTAGGGTCATTCCTGTGTTTGTATGTATATATCTAGAGTGTGGAACAATATACAGAACATACTGTATATATACTGTGTGTGTGTGTATATAGATGCATATACACACACACAGGAAAGGAAGGAAATGACTTCCTTTTCAGAGATCAGATGCATTTAAGAAAGCAATATAATAATGTAAGAAAGTAATGTAGACTTCTCTATGGCTCCCATGAGTCTCCCACGCTCTACACCTGGAGATCTTTTTTTTGCATCTTTTTCACAACTCCCTGTTGGTTCTCTGGGATCTGCCTGGGCTGAGTTTCTGTATGTTACCTCAACACCAAGGCTTTCAAAAAGGGGGAAGTATTTTATGATTTCTAAACTTGTTTTTCTTTTCTACCACAAAAAATATAGTGTCCTGAAAAAGGAATACATGGGTCAAGTTGGAATGTCTGTCACTCTGCCTCATGAAGTATGGTATCAGCCCTTGTGAGAATCCTAGGGCAGGAAAGATGGGACATAGAACAGTCAGATATGGGTCACTTACCTTGGTATTAAGGATTTATGATAACAGGAGTGGGCAGGTGTCTATGGCAAGAGAACTTGCCAAGGTCATTAGGAAATGTGAAATAAAATAAATTTCAGATAAAAAACAATGAGTTTGTTTCCTTCACATCTCATAAAGAAATTAAGTAATTACTAAAGTTTGCAGAACATGTAAATGAGAGCACAGTACCTGTGGGCTACTAAATCAATACTCTTTTTTTTTTTTGAGATGGAGTTTTGCTGTTGTTGCCCAGGCTGGAGTGCAATGATGCCATCTCCCATCTCAGCTCACCATAACCTCACTTCCCAGTTCAAGCGATTTTCCTGCCCCAGCCACCTGAGTAGGTGGGATTACAGGCATGTGCCACCATGTCCCACTAAAGTCAATGCTCTTCCCATTTTTCAGACATGAGGCTTTCAGCTCAGTAGTGTGCTAGGCAGCCAAGGGAGAACAGTGGTGAAGGGTCCCCAGCCTCAGAGAGTTAGAGGTAATATGATCAGTCACCTTCAGGAGAAAAACCTAGACCTTGAAGCAGCCAGATGTTCTGACAGAGCTGAACCCTGAGGTACAGGTTCCAGGTGTAAGAAAGCTGCCTAGGATATTTGAGAGCAAAGATATGCCAATGGATAGAGAAGGAATGTGGGGGACATGAGTGGAGAGCAGTGAATAAGAAGTAGCTGTGGAGTGGTGATCAGAAGACCTAGGCCTAAGCATTTGCTGGAGATTAATATGAAGTAGTGGCCCAAGAATGGCCCCCCTACTGCATGAAACTGTACTGCTGCCTGTATGACATCATGGTACTAGGGATTTTTTTCAATATATTTAGTGATCCTTTGTTAAGGTCATGAACACAAGACTAATCATCATTTAGCTTTGATTCTCAGGGGCTTTATGTCTGTCTGCTCTGCAATGTTTACTGCAAGGCTCAAAACATGTCTTCATCCTCCCCATAGAATGTGATCTGTGGACTCTGAGGGAGAAGTTTTGATCACTTTCTTTCTCTCTGAAAACTGAACGAGGAATTTATTTTAATTTCAACTACAGCAGAGCCTGTGCTGATTTCTGACTACTCTGCTCCAGCTCTGAAATCTGTTCATCCAGCTCTGGCCTTGTTGGGCCAGTTGGGCTTCAGCCTCTTCCAGACTTCTCAGCCTCTTCTCATCCTCCTTCTCATCTTCTGCTCCTCTTTGTTCAAATAGTGTGTGGCCACCTCAGATTTAGAATAAATCTGCTGTTCCAAAGTTTTATCCTGACTCTGTAGGGAAAGGCAGAGAGAGAGAGGTTGCCATGCTCTTTAGGAAGGAATGTCTTTAGGAAGGCAATGTCTCTGGGCATGTTGTCAGGTTTAAAATGAAGGAGAAGCAAGGAGAGGAGATTTTTTTCTGTAAATCTGCTCTCCTTTTCATCGTCTCATCTTCTCACTCTATCCACATGTCTCTAAAACTTCTTCCTCTGCCTCTGCATCCTCAAGCTGGCATTCAACCTAGGGAAGACGAGGGGCTAATTTCTGTAATGACCACATGAGTCTTGACTTCTGGGCCAGCAAGTTCATAGCACAAGTTTTTTTCCATATTGTGTTACCTCCCTGATTCTGAATCCCAGGAGGAGTCCTTAGTCAGTGCCTATCATAATCTTTCCAACTTCTGCCCAGGAAGTAAAAATGGGCTCTAAAGATGAGATCTTAATACAGGAACAAAGATCTGGAAAGCGAGAATCATCACCAGCCAGGATTTCATCTTACGTTTTTCTTAAAATTCTTGGCTGTGCTGTGAGCCTCTCTCCTTCACCCATATAGTTGTTCCTAAAGAGAGAGGAGGGAGATAGTGAGAGATGTTTTAATAAGGCAGGGCTCCTCAAAGTATGGCCTGCTGAACAGCTGCTGGCCAAAAAACTGTTACTTCTATATCACAAAAGAAGGACTTTGTGCCTGAATGTAAGTCAAGAAGCAAACTATATTTAATTCAAGTGATGTTTTTTCATTTGGTTTTGTTTTTTGGTAGCAATACATTTTTAGTGAGAAAGTAGTGGGCTGATTTTCATTCTGGTGCAAGATCCATAATAATGTCAAAAGGGCATTTTGACAGCATTGGTCTATAGGACAGTCAGCATATCAACTACTTCTTTTGTATACTCCAGAATCAGACAGAGTTCGATTCTCCAACCACTTCATTAAAAGCATTTCAAGAACTGACTTCTACATTCCAGAATACCTTCTATTTTATTATGTAAACCTTCAACTTCTTGGACATTCTGTGTTCTATCTTCAACTGCCCAAAAGCTGCCTGGAGCTTCTTAGGCAAGGGATACAGATGTCAGTGTTCTTTCAATATTTTGTTCCATTGCTTATCTACATTTACAATAGTGTAAATGAGGTGGGCTTAGAATTAGATTTTTTTGATTGAAACCTTAGAAAGAACACTCACCTCTTCTCCCAGAGAATAAAAGATCCAATAACCCCACTGTGACTGAGACAATAGGACGAAACTCTTATAAAGTGAATGTCATCCATTTGTTCTATTGCCCTTCTTACCATTTCACATCCTTCTGATCCCACAGCTGCATTCTTTATTCAGAGAGTCCTAAAAGATTTCAATCTTGGTACAATTTTTTATATATCTAGGATTTCAGAAGTTTCTAATCTAGTTTGTTCTTTCATTTAAAATAGCAAGACTGAGAAGAAATAGTCGTCTTAATATGTGAATAATGGGGCAAAAGAAAGATTCTAAGTTATTACTGGGATTGGTAAGTGACAAGAGTGCTTGGGAATATGCAGTTTTCCCATCAGAAATTATTTCCTGCTACTATTCCTTCCAACCTAAGACATACCTGGATTTTGTGAACATCTTCTTCCATGGAGATCATGTGGGATCTGCAATGTTCTAAAGATCTTTTACACACTAAGGAAATGGCTTTCTCAACCTACACACACACACACACACACACACACACACACACTTTCCTATGTTTCTTACACAGAACCCCCTTCAGTACTTTCACAGGTAAGACAGGTAATCCCCCAATTAGTCTGATAACTGAGAGTGGAAAAATGAAGAGGTAATTGAAAAAGATTCGTAAGAAGATGGTCACCAGCTGTCTAGAGAATGTACAAACCACAGAAAGGATAATGGAGCAGAGGTGAGATACAAGCAAGAAATTAGAAAGGAAATTAAAAGAAACTTTATTTCTACTTTTACATTTACCCCAAACACAATATTGAGACCAAATTCCATATTTTTCACATAAGACAAACTGGGTCCCCTATCAAATGAAATACAATTGTGGATGGTGATCTTCCTTATTCATTCCTTCTTGTCTCCATAATCATTAAAAATTAAAGCTCTTCTTTGGAACAGCAAAAAAAAAAAAAAATCAACAGAGTAAACATAACATACAGAATAGCAGAAAATATTCATAAACTATGAATCTGACAAAGTTCTAATATCCAGAATTTAGAAGGAACTTAAGTTAATAAGCAAAAACTAAATAACCCCATTAGAAAATGAGCAAAGGCCATCAACAGACACTTCTCAAAGGAAGACATACATGGCATATGAAACAAGCGTAAGAAAAAATGCTCATGATCATAATCATCACAGAAATACAAATCCAAACCAAAACAAGATGCTATCTCACACCAGTCAGGCTAGCTATTACTAACGTCAAAAAACAACAGATGGTTGCAAGGCTGCAGAGAAACAGGAACCCTTATGCATTGTTTAAATTCAGCTACTGTGAAAAGCAGTTTGGACACTTCTCAAAGTACTTAAAACAGAGCTGCCATTTGACCCAGAAATCCCATTACTGGGTATTTACCTAAGAGAAAATAAATTATTCTACCAGAAAGACACTTGTACTCATAAGTTTGCTGCAGTGCTATTCACAATAGCAAACACATGGAATCAGCCTAGGTGCCCATCAATGACTCACTGGATAAAGAAAATGTGGTGCATATACATTGTGGAATACTAAGCAACAATGAAAAAGAACATGAATGCAACAACATGAATGGAGCTGGAGGCCATAATCCTAAGTTTATTAATGAAGAAACAGAGAACCAAATACCACATGTTCTCCTTTATAAGTGGAGCCAAATATTGAGCATACATGGACATAAACATGGGAACAATAGTCATTGCCAACTACTAGACAGGGAGGAAGTGAGAAGGGTTGTGGGTTAAGAATCTTCTTTTGGGTACTATGGTCACTACTTGCTACATATACCCACGTAACGACCTTGCACGTGTACCCCCTGTATCTAAAATAAAAGCTGAAATTAAAAAGGAAATTAAAGATCTTTGTGCCTCTAATATGGACAATTAGATCATTTTTCTTGGCTTACTGCCATTTTAAACCCAAAATAGCATAATTCTCCCAAAATCAGACCATAACAAGTATAACATCTCCAGAGGAGGATTTTCTTCCCTTTGATCTTATATTCAGCTTCTCAGAGAGACAAAATGCCTTAGTCCATTCTGGCTGCTATAATAAAATATAAGCTGGGTAGTGTATAAACAACAGAAATTTATTTCTCATAGTTTTAGAGGCTGAGAAACCCAAGATCAAGGCACTTGCAGATCTGCCTGGTGATGGCCTAATCCTCATAGACATCATTTTCTCGCTGTTATCTCAAAAAGTGGAAGGGAAGAACAAGCTCTCTACAACTATAAGCATAGTAATCCCATTTAGCAGGGCTCTGCTTTCATGATCTTTGCTTCCCAAAAGGCCCACTTCTTAATCCTATCACCTTGAAGGGCAGGATTTTAACATGCAATTTGGGTAACTATAAGGCATACATTTGGGGAAGGATACAGACAGCAGACCTTAGCACAAATCAAATAGTTTTAAAAAATCTTAATCAAAATTTTAGCTGACTGGGCACAGTGGTTCACGCCTATAATCCCAGCAATTGAGAAAAAGCAGACACAAGATGAGCTCTCTGCCCTCCTCCTATCTGCCCAAAAGCTAAACACAAATTCCTCTTGTGAAGATGACTCCCTACCCTTGACTCATACTTCTCCATTATTACCAGAAAGGGCATAACAACCTATCACCAGAGACAATATGGCATTGAGAAAGAGTCTGCACAAACCTCACTAATCGTCCCTCATCCTCCATTAGTTTCCACCACATTTTTACTTTCCTGCAGTCTGCTACCCTTAGAAGCCTAAAACTTTTTTTGTCACTTTTTACAAATCTATTGTTCTTTTGTTAAGATGCTGTATTTTTTAGGCATTCGCTGGTGAAAATACAGCTCTACCGGAGGTGCACATAAATATACTTGAAATAAAAATATATTCTAGCTATTTTATGATAGTTAAATTTTGATAGCAATAAAGTATCTATTAATATGCCAGTTATTTATTTTCTTATATCTAGCTAATCTCATTAATAAACAAAACAACCCCTGAAGCAGTTATTGTTACTCTTTTTTACAGAGAAGGTAACAGAGGCTTAAAGAGGGTAATTATCAAATTGCCCGGTGACAGTTAGGAAGTAGTACTGAATATGGTGACTGCAATCTAACCTGTCTGTGTGATTATGACGCCTTTGTGTAACTTGGTAAAAGTTAGTAAGTTTTTATACCTTAGTAAGCATAAAGGTGTGGATTTGAAACCTGGGAATTTCAGACGCTATTTAGGTTGTTCCAAAAACTTTTGTGTTACAAAAATTTTGTCATAATGATTAACTTTGTATACATCATTTTTTATATAAGGAGGCATATATGAAATGTAACTTCTATAAATGTGATTTCTGGATCAAATAATAAATTCATATACATTTTGCTAGATGTTTCACAATTCTACAAGAATTCCATTGTGTGGTATATCCATAAGGAAAGTATGAGAGGCTCTAACACTATGGTCAGCACAGGGTTAATCCTTTTAACTTCTACTCATCTGTCAAGTGAGAAATGGTGTCTTGGTGTAGTTTTTATTGTATTTTCTCTTATTAATAATAAGCAAAGCATATTCCAATTATGTATCTGTTATGTTCATCAGACTTTTGATAATCTTTTCCCTCTACATTTTGAGGAACTTTTATGTATTAGGAAAAGCAAACGTTTTATCTATAACTTAAAAAGGTTTCAGTTTGTCATTGACTTTTGTCTCATTGCTTATGACTTTGATTTTTTCCCATGAAAGAAAGGGAGATGTATTTCTTATTAGAAGATCATAGAGAAATTCCTGTGGAAGAGACATAAACAGAGAAATGAAGGAAAGGCGGAAATGAGTCATGTAAAGATGTAGGAAAAGGATGTTTCAGGAAATGGGAATAGCAAGCACAAAGGCCTGAGAAGGAAATGAGCTTGGTGTGTCTGTAAGATGGCAGTCAAGTTTATGTGTCTTCAGTGGTGTAGTTGTATTTAAAGAAATCTCTATAATTCTTTTAAAAATACCTTTAATTTTGACTTGTTAAAATTACATTTGACTGAATTTAGTTATCGTAAATATTAGATATTTTCCTGTTTTATTCTTGTTTTCTTTTTCCTATTCCTCCTTGTAAATATTAGTTATCGTAAATATTAGATATTTTCCTGTTTTATTCTTGTTTTCTTTTTCCTATTCCTCCTTGTAGTGTGATACACAATCGGCTTAGGTCTCAGGACAACCATTATGAGTGTTAAATGAGCCATTCATTAATAATAATTGAAATAATATAAATAAAGCTATCATTTGTAGAACATTTATTTATATGTAAAGGACTGTTATAAGATGGATATATATTTATTTCTCATTAAATCATTAAGAAAAATTGTTATTATTATTTCCCTTTTAAAGCTGAGAAAGTTGCTGGGCACAAGAACTCAGGCCTGTAATCTCAGCACTTTGGGATGCTGAAGTGGGCAGATTGTCCAAAGTCAGGAGCTCCAGACCAGCCTGGGCAACATGGCGAAACCCCATCTCTACTAAAAACATGTATGTTAGCCAGGTGTGGTGATGCATGCCTGTAGTACCAGCTACTGACAAGGCTGAAGCACAAGAATTGCTTGAACCTGGGAGGTGGAGGTTGCAGTGAGCTAACATCAAGCCACTGTACTCCAACACAGGCAACAAAACAAGGCTTTGTCTCAAAAAAAAAAAAAAAAAAAAGGTGAGAGAGAAGTAAAGTAACTTGCCCAGACTTACACATTTCGTAAATGTAACAGTCATTTCCAACATAATCAATTTCAACAAAGATCTAGAACTCAAAACTTGATCACCACTTCTTACAGTTTTCTCTTCCATATCATAGGACGCTAATGACTCCTCTCTCTAATTTTTATTATTATTGTCTTGAGGATGCAGAGAGCTATGTTGAAAGAAAAAGGTGGAAATGAACTGAAAATTCATTGCATGCTTATTATGCAATACATATGTAATGTTATATTATTCTCATCTTCTTCAAAGATGAGCAGAAAATTAAGTTCATTGATATTATGCAAACTCCCAAGCTTATTGAACAAATGATACATCTAACTTTTAAATCCATATCTCCTGGCACCTAGCACAATTCCCTCCTCTACATGACATTGAGTCCCAGTATCTCCCAGGAGGAAGAACTCCTGCAAAGAAGAATGAATCTAGAGCGGAAAAGTGATGTTAAATTTTTTTAAAGAAGAATTTTATACACATATACACATATTACATATTACATATTTGCTATGAGAGGGTTCTCATGTTTTGGAACAATATGATAAAAGGCCTTCAAAATATTTTGTCTTTCTCAGAAAATGTATAGTCTAGACAGGGAGTTAAGACATAAACATGAGATTTCATTTTTTTGTGGGGGACGGAGTTTTGCTCTGTTGCCCAGGCTGGTGTGCAGGGGCCTCAGTTTACTGCAACCTCTGCCTCCCGAGTTCAAGAGAGTTTCCTGCCTCAGCTTCCTGAATAGCTGGGATTACAGGTACACACCATCATGCCCGGCTACTTTGTAGAGAGGATGTTTCACCATGTTGGTCAGGCTGGTGTCGAATTCCTGACTCCGTGATTCACCCGCTTCTGCCTCCCAAAGTGTTGGGATTACAGGCATAAGCCACCATACCTGGCCACAAACATGAGATTCCTAATAAAACAAGAAGCAATATACTCATGATCCAACAAAACAGTGATTTAGATGAAAAGTGGGGTAGAATCTCAAATGATGGCTCTTTCACTGTGGACTGAGCATAGGAGTGGGTAGGGTTGGGAGATGAACTACGTTTTCAAGGATAGTTTGATCTTGGGCTACAATTCAGGCTGAGTTGCTCTTCTCAACTCAGAGAACATCACCCTAGGCTAATTCCTGATGTTAACAGATATTATTGAGCAAGTTATCAAATAACATATGGATGCTTATATTTCCTTAACTATTTATTAAATAATGCATAAATCCATAGGTATTATATATGAGTGGTATTTTTATTTCTAATTATAATGATAAATATAACTTTTAAATACAAAGCATATATGGATGAAAAAGAATCCTATGTAGTTGTCTACATTTCAGGGAAAACTTTGTCCAGAACAGGTAATGGTTAGTTCAGAATTATTTGATAAAAGTTGACAAATGGATATGTCCACTATTTATGCTGCTGCTATGTTGGTATCTCTGAACATGGGTATGTACATATATATGATCTTGAATTTGTGCAATTGGTAAGAAAAATATTATCCCATGAGACTATAACTCCTTTGATGTGACAGTTCTCCAGGGTTCCAATCATGAGAAAGATGTTGAATTGGCAAATGTCAAAATTATATACAAGCAATTAAGAACACATTAGGAAGCCAGTGCAAGCAGTTAGAGAGAAGTTTCACTTAGATAATAAATTAGGTTCCTACATTTCCCCTGATTAGCTAGTTTTTCTTGAGGTGATGGGAAATCAGATTGCATTTCAGTAGTAAGAGTAACAGGATGAGATAGATTTTACTGAAGATTTCTGATAAAAGAAATCAGAGGTGGGTTTGAGTAGATGACATATTTAAATAAATTGGGAGATCGATGAGAATAACACAGGGATAATTGGAAGACGTAGAGATGAGAATACGCTAAATACATGACAACTGATAGATATAGAAAAGGATTAAGTTGAGACCAAGTTGAAAGCATTTATTTAGATCCTTTGGCAAGATTTAAAAACATTTGCTTAGCCCCTTCCAGTATTTGCTTGGTTCTCACTCCGTAAATAATGGGATTGAGCATAGGAGGAATGACAACATAGAGGTTGGCCAGGAGGATATGAACATAGCGTGGGATGCGTCTCCCACCAAACCTGTAGGCAAAGACAGAAAAGAGGGCAGGGATATAGAAGAGTAGGATGACACAGACATGGGATCCACAGGTACTCAGGGCCTTGGAGCGGGCGTCTTTAGAAGGGAGGCGGAAGACTGCTTGGAGGATGTGGATGTAGGAAACAGTAATAAGGATAATGTCCAGGCCTGTGGAGAGAAGAGCAGCTGCCAGCCCATACCAGACATTGATGGAGATATCAGAACAGGACAGATGGGCAATGCCCATGTGCTCACAAAATGTGTGTGCAATGATGTTGATCCGGCAATAGTGCAGGCGCTTGAGGAGAAAGATGGATGGAAACATGATGATGAAGCTGCGGCTCAGGGCAGCAGCAGTGATCTTCCCAACGACCTCGTTCGTGAGGATCATGACATATCGCAGAGGGCAGCAGATGGCCACATAGCGGTCAAAGGCCATGGCCAGCAGGACAGCAGAGTCGGCCACAAAGAGGAAGTGAATGAAGAACATCTGAGTGAGGCAGCCATCAAAGGAAATGTGGCTGTAACCTAGCCAGAAATTGGCCAGGGCCTTAGGCATGGTGGCAGTAGAGAGCAAGACATCAGCACTGGCCAGCATGGATAAGAATACGTACATGGGCTCATGCAGAATTGCTTGGGAGAGGATGACACAAATTAGGATGCCATTGCCTGTCAGGGTGGCTATGTACATGATGCAGAAGGGGATGGATAGCAAGACGTGTAGATGCTCCAGCCCAGGGATGCCAGTGAGGAAGCAGCCTGCTACGCGAGTGTCAGAGTTGTTCACAGCAGCTATGTTGCTAGCAGATAAAAGGGCCATGATTTTATGCAAAGCCCTCATCTGTGCCATATGGGAAAAATAGCATCAGATTTTTAAAAACACATTAGCAGAATGTCCATAAAAGCTTCCAAACAACCACAAGGTCTACGTATATTTACAGGTCCTATGACAGTTAATGGCCTCTACACATGGGCATATCTCTACAGATAATCACACACAGGTTTTGCACACATTCATATTCTCTGCAAATAATCACACATACACTCTGCACAGTTACAGGACCTGCCCACAGACTGGCTCTGTGTTCTTCTTTTTTTTAAATTTTTTTTATTTTTTATTGCGTTTTAGGTTTTGGGGTACACAAGGACCTAGACATAGAAATTCCATTTGACCCAGCAATCCCATTACTGGGCATATATTCAAAGGCTCTGTGTTCTTATTCAGAAGCTCTCCACACAGCTTCAAGAATTTAAGGAAATGACAGGGCTTAAAAACATTGCAAGACTCAGCACAGTGTCATAGGTCCTGAAAAGAGCAGGGATAGGTAGAACATCAAAATCAAGCTCTACAACCTCTTTGGACAGGTGAACTGTAATGAGCTCTGCAAAAGCCCCAGACCCTGGCAGAGAGGACTGCAGTCCTCTAGTAAGAGCAATTGCCTTTGCTTAGCAAATTATGTGAAAGAGTAGGGTTGAGGGTGGTGGGTGCTGCTAACCCTTCATCCCTTTTTCTTTAGGCACAGATGCTCTGTTAAGTATGAAGGCATTTAGAAATAACCCAGGAGAGGATGTGAAAAAACCTGGGTCAGAGATCCGCTCTATCAACTACTGGCCGGATGATCTTGGACAAGTCACTGTCTTCTCTGAGTAACAGTTTTCTAATCTTTTTTTTTTTTTTTTTAGATGGAGTCTTGCTTTGTTTTTCAAGCTAGAATGCAGTGGCACCATCTTGGCTCACTGCAACCTCTGCCTCCCAGGTTCAAGCAATCCTAGCCTCCCGAGTAGCTGGGATAACAGGTGCCTACCACCAAACGGCTAATTTTTGTATTTTTTAGTAGAAATACAGGGTTTCACCATCTTGGCCAGGCTGGTCTCAAACTCCTGAGCTCGTGATCCATCTGCTTCAGCCTCCCAAAGTCCTGGGATTACAGGCATGAGCCACTGTGCCCAGTACAATTTTCTATTTTTAAAAATGAGCATAATTGTTATGTTAGTATATTAAACTAAATTTTCTCTATGGAAGGCTTATTAAATTGCATGTGACTCCTGAGTCAGCTCTGTGGTTGTGAAATGTGGTGCTGTCATCCAGAGAAGAAAGGAAGGTATAGAATGATGCTTCTAAATCTTGAGCTCCCTGTCATCATCAGAGAACTCATAAATTCTTTGGCCCTACCACAAACCTACTGCATGAGAAAAACTAGAGTTGAGATAACAATCTGTGTTTTAGCAAGCTCTGTAGGTGATTCTGATTCATGCTGAAGTTTGTGAACCACTGATGTAAGAACTTTTTGAACTTTCTTCCCTATGTACTCTAGATGTCTACCACTTCTGCCAGGATGATTACCTTTCAGTCCCCATTGGTTTCTGTTACATTGTCTCTGTGAATCCTCAGACTTCAACTAAATCTAACTAGTGTTATCCTTAGCTTACATAGTCAGGAGGTGAAGAAAATGACACAATCACATAAGTAATCTTTAGTACATATTAGAACACATGATCCCCCTCAGTCCTATTAAACTATTCTCACAATGAGTGTACGACTTTTATCACTACTCAAATGCTGTTTTTCTCTCTCCACTGAATGTTTCTCTTTTGTAACTGACATTTCAGGACTATCAGGAGCATATTCCTCACATTGTTCTCTTCTTGTAAATTTATTTATCTCTGTATCTATCCTGCCCTCATTTCCTCCAGTGTCAGAGAAAGGGGTGCCAATATATCTTCTATTTTCCAATATTTCCTTTGTCATAGCTGGAACGTATTTTACTTTACCTAAGAAAATTTTCTTGAGTAATTTGTTAGAAGTGCTAGGAAATGAACCAAGTGCCTCATGCATGAATATTTAACTTATTAGATTCTTTTTTAAAACAACCATATATACACAAACATACATACCTATACTTACATGCATGCATTCATATGTGTATACATGTACATATGCATGTATATACATGTATTTATGTGTGGGTATGAATGTATATAGCTATATCATCAAGAATAATTTCTCCACCTATTCTCTGAATTATCTTTCTTTCCTACTACTTCAAAGACTTTGTTTGATGAATTATTATTTCTTTATCTTCAGCTCCTCCTAATACCCTGGATCTTTATTAACCTACATTCAAATATTTTTAACCTGAAGACAAGCAAAAAATTAAAAACAGCTGTAAAGCTGGGCGTGGTGGCTCATGCCTATAATCCCAGCACTTTGGGAGGCCGAGGCAGGTGGATCACAAGGTCAAGAGATCGAGACCATCCTGGTCAACATGGTGAAACCCCGTCTCTACGAAAAATACAAAAATTAGCTGGGTGTGGTGGCGTGTGCCTGTAGTCCCAGCTACTCGGGAGGCTGAGGCAGGAGAATTGCTTGAACCCAGGAGGTGGAGGTTGTGGTGAGCTGAGATTGCGCCATTGCACTGCATCCTGGGTGACAAGAGTGAAACTCCGTCTTAAAAACAAACAAACAAACAAAAAAACCAACAGCTGTAATAAAGATATTTTATTCCAGTAAATTCTCCTCTTAATTACTATTTTGTCTCTCTTCTTTTCTTTAAAAATCACTCTTCCGTGAAAGGCCACTTTTGGTTTTGATTTCTCTACCTTCCACTGGTTCCTCTCTTGTACCCTGGCGTGACCCAGCTCTCATTAGAGTTATCTCTCCCCTGCCAAATGGTTTACTGTTTGTGTTTCCTAATGGTCTGTAGCCATCTTCTTCTCACTCTTTCTTCTCTCTGGCAAATCTTGTCTACTACCTTGGCTTCGCTTAGCCTGCATGTGCTAATATCTCCCAAATCTACATTGCCATTTATGTTGCTTTCCAGGCTCTAGGTCCACTTTTCCAAAGACCTCCCAACTGGTCTCCTAGTCTGCAGTTCTAGTCTCCAAACCATTCCTCATGATTAAATAATGTTTCCAAAATATATTTTCGCATAGGCAAATAATTTTTGCACTTATTATCTATAATCACTATGGTGATTATAGATGTGCCCATTTTCTGAAGGATTCATGCAAGTAACATACACATACTCTCTTTTTCCCTCCCTGCTTTCTGTTTTCTCTACTCATACTGGAATACATGTATCCCCTAAAGCAACTCTTTTTTTTTCCTGTGGTCTTTTCTATGTTCTGCTGCTTCTACCTCCATCCAACTCTTTATTATAACCAATTTATATTTCTCATCCAGAAAGATTTTTTCTCATCTCTCCAAACGGCTGGATAAGCAACTTTCTCTGTACAAATGCATACCTCTGCAGCCACCTTTCTCCCTCTCTATACTTATTGCATTGAAATATTCTCAGTCCCGCTATATTGTGAGCACTTTGTGAGCCAGGACTGTGCATCACTTGCTGTTGTCTGGGTTCAAATTTATACTTAATGAATGTTCAAAAAAAGGCAGAAAAGGTAAGTTCCCACTCACTCAGCCATGTAAGTTTACACTGACAGCAACGCACACCAGTACCACAAAAATCACAGGTTTTTCATCACAGATCTTGTGTTCTCATGTTCTCTTCATATCTGCAGTTTGTGCCACTGTTGTGCTCATTCTTCCCACAGCACCCATCACTCATCATGTTCACCGCTGCTACACGTTCCCACCTTTGTTGATGACATCAGCACTTGCAAACACCTTTCTTCTCCAACTTGACTTCGGTTCTTCTCCTAAATAACGAACCTCCAAGGCAGCCTGTGTCCAGCCAGTGTCTTCCTGTTCTCCATCCCAGTGGTTTGTGTTTTCACTCCGATTCAGGAATTCACTGAAGCCTTCACACCTCAAAACGGAGCAACTCCACTTTAAGTGTCTGTCTGGGAGCTCTTTTTTAAAAACCTTCCACTCCATATATACCTAAACCCCTCGTCCACGAGTTCCTCCTTCAGTTATCTTTGGAAGCTTCCGTCTTTTCTAATGTAGCTTTTCCAATTAAACATCTCTTGGCCACCAAGGAAATTTACATCTTTTAGAGTAGAATTGGGCCAGAGATAGTCTATTCAAAGTTAAACGCAAAATAAATACATTAAATGCAAGAATGGGAGCAGATTTTATTTACTTTCATTTGGCTTTAGGCTTCAACGCTGCAAGCCTGACTTCCTTGGTTAGAAACTTGGATAACACTGGCCACGTTTCACCACATTTAATTCCCTCAGTCACTAGCAATTCTTTATCCTGGCTCATATTCTTAGTTTTCATTCCTGGGCAGTATATTTTTGTTTGATAAATTCATATATGTGATCTATTACAAATCTAGACAGTTTCTATTAAAATTTTTCTGTTATCTGTTGACTTATGCCTTATAGGGTTCCCAACACATGAATGTTGCAAACCTTCTCTTCCTTCTTCTCTTCCAAGACCTAGTACAGCAGATGGGCTAATCTCTGCAATAAGAGAGAAACCTAGACCAATCAAGCAAACATTTCTTTATCTTCTCTTCTCTGTCGTCTGGCAATTTTCCTCCATCCTTTAATTCTCTCTCTCTTTTTTTTTCCTAATGGAAGAAATTATTCCTTCTACTATTTTAGTAAATTTCTAACAACCATTTTTGGATCCTTTGTTTGACTTCTCTGTCCAGGAACTTGACCCATTTATACCTTATGCATGATATCCCATATGCTGTAGTTTTCCTTCCACTGTTCCTCAATGTCTGAGGATATAATCTATCTGTAATTTATGATTCTTGCATCCTCCTTGAGAGTCAAGGATTATTTACTTATCCAGTCTCTCCAACCTTACCTAGAAAGTGACTCTCCAAACTGCCCTTCTCCCACTCCACCCCTCATGAAAACACAATTCATTCCAGCCATCCTAGCCCATTATTCTCTCTGCCTCTTTGTGAACATTTCCACATAGCCACCTACTTGTCTGGTACCTATTTTTCCTCCTAATGCTCCACAGTAATACTTTCTCTCCATCCTAAAAATATCTAACCCAGACTTACCTCCCTGATGCCACCTGCTCAGATTCACAGCTTCTCAATTCCACAATTCATACACAGCTCAGGCTTCCTTAATATATAGATTCAAATTTCAGGTCTTGCCTTGTATGAGGCAGTGTTTATCTCTCCTCACCTCTGGGAGCAGGGATTCTCCTGCCTCTGTGTATCTTTCCCTTTCTTAGCTCCAATTCCCTCCCCCAGCATCAGGGCCGATTTCCCCCTCCCATTCAACACAAGGATCTAAGCACTTGGTAATATGCTTTGGCATAGAGCCAGATAGAAGAGATTATTGAGAGACACTCTGTATGAAGAAGGGAAGAACTCAGCAACAACTCAGAGGTTCTTGGCCTTGAGAGTGTTAATCAAATTTGTTTTTGCATTTCCCGTTCCAATACTAGTTCTTCTCATGTCTTTAATTCCACCTTTTTTTTCCCGCTCTTCCTACTGTCCTTCATAAAGTATTTTACTCTTGGGCTTTTAAATTTATCAGCTTTGTGTCTGTCTGAAAACCCATGTTTTTTTTTTTCACCTTAGAGCTTTTTCTTTACCCCTCCACTGGCCCTAAACATCTATTACATTAATATGTTATTCTGAACATATTATGTTTAATATACAGGATGTACAAGAATCATTATCCCTGTCTTGCTCACTTAAACATTTGACAATGATGCCTTCATTGGGTCAGCATTTGAGGTCAATAGATGAAGAAATCATGTCTCCTTACCATGGACAGTTATCATTAATTACAATACAGCAGTGAGTACAAAGTGCTGTGAGTCCAGAATCCAGATAAATAATTCATCTGGTATAGCAAGGGAAGCCTTCACAGAATATCAGAGAGAGAGAGAGAGAGGAAGTAAATCACTCCTCAGCAAATGCAAAGAATGGAAATCATAACAAACAGTCTCTCAGACCACAGTACAATCAAATTAGAACTCAGGACTAAGAAAAGCACTCAAAACTGCACAATCACATGGATACTGAACAACTTGCTCCTGAATGATGAATGGATAAACAATGAAATGAAGGCAGAAATAAACATCAACAAAATAGACAGACTGCTAGCTATACTAATAAAAAAGAAAAGAGAGAAGAATCGAATAGATGCATTAAAAATGATAAAGGGGAGATCACAACTGATTCCTCGGAAATATGAACTAGCATCAGAGATTACTACAAACAATTCTATGCACATAAACCAGTAAATCTAGAAGAAATGGATAAATTCCTGGACACTTGCACATTCCCAAGACTAAGCCAAGAAATTGAAACCCTGAATAGAGCAATAACAAGGTCTGAAGTCGAGGCAGTAATTAACAGCCTACCAACCAAAAAAAGTCCAGGTCCAGATGGGTTCACAGTTGAATTCTACCAGACATACAAAGAGGAGCTGTTACCATTCCTGTTGAAACTATTCCAAATAATACAAAAAGAGGGAATCCTCTCTAACTCTTTCTATGAGACCAACATGGTGATTCAAGACTGGTTCAACATACGCAAATCTATAAACATAATTCACCATATAAACAGAACCTAAGATGAAAACCACATGATTATCTCAATAGATGCAGAGAAGGCCTTCAACAAAATTCAATAGCCCTTTATGCTAAAAAATCTCAATAAACTAGGTATCTATGGAAAGTATCTCAAAACAATAAAAGCTATTTATAAGAAACCCACAGCCAATATCATACCGAATGGGCAAAACCTAGAAGCATTCCCTTTAAAAACTGGCACTAGACAAGGATGCTCTCTCTCACCACTCGTATTCAAAACAGTATTGGAAGTTCTAGCCAGAGCAATTAGGCAAGAAAAAGAAATAAAGGGCATTCAATTAGGAAAAGAAGAAGTCAAATTGTCCCTATTTGTAGACAACATGATCATATATTTAGAATACCCCTTTGTCTCAGCCCCAAACCTCCTTAAGCTGATAAGCAACTGTGGCAAAGTCTCAGGATACAAAATCAATGTGCCGAAATCACAGGTATTCCTATACACCAATAA